CTCGCGGTTCTGGATTGGGGACTTCCAGATCAGCGGCTTGAACCTGTACGGTTGGCCAACTTCCCCCACCTGGCCAGGAGCCAGAACATTGACGGAGAACATGCTCCAGTCCGTCTCCCATGAGTTCATCATCGGCATGCAAGGTCTCCGCTATGTCGCAGGAGACTTCAACCACCCTGAATCCCTGCCATCCATCCAGGGATGGCTTCAAGCGGGATGGGTCGAGATTCAGACCCTTCATCACCAACGTTCGGGCTACGTCCCCCAGGACACATATCGTGGCATGTCGCGCCCTGATCGGCTCTACATCTCGCCCGAACTTGCAGCATTCTTCACTGCAGCTCACTACGAAGCATGGTTTGCGGATCATGGAGCCCTTCATGGTGTTTTCCAGATACCGGACCATCACCCCAGCTACTGGGCATGGCCACTACCAGCACAGCTACCATGGGAGGAAGCCGACATACAGACCTGGCACGCATCCTTTCAACCCAGCCTCAACGACACCCAACCAACCCTGGACCCCACTTCACACTACAAGCACTTGGGCTACCTCTATGAGACTAGCCCACCACCTGTCCGAGCACTCGCACATACGCCTGCCACCTGCCTGCCTTGGTCGAGGCCAACGCCTCCAACCAGTACGGAGACAACCACAAGCTCCGATCCTTCGATCCAGTCGCCCAGGAGAAGAGCATTTGGCTTCCGATGTCATCAGCCGGGCTGTACTCAGATGGTTTCGACAACTACGACGCCTTCAGAGCATGCACCATGCCCTCAAAGCTGGAGGCCAAGGCCCTACGCACCAACTCTACCGGACCGAGCTCTGGCATGCGATACTACACGCACCGGGCTTTCAGCCCACTTTCTGCGAATGGTGGCCCACTAGGAAGCACCAGTTCCAAGGCAGCCCACCTCACTTGCCACTCTATGCTCCATCCCTCGACCTCATGCACAACATCTACAACGACTTCCGCTACAATTTCCGGAGCTTTGAAAGCTGGAATTTGCGCCAGAAGTCGAAATGCAACCAAGCTCGACTACAGCAACACCACCACCGCATCTTCAAGGCTATCAAACCAGCCATGCGGGAGCCCATGGATCGCCTGGTCGAGAAACACACCGTCGCCATCCTCGCGGTCTCAGCGGATGGCACCCAGATCCACACTGATGCCTCGTTGGAAAGCAGGCCACATGCCACCTGGTGGGTGGATGGGACGCCCGCCACCGTCAAACAGCTCTCCCAGGACACCTTCGAGGTCGAGTCGGATCTCCTGCTTGTCAAGGGACAACAGCTACACCAGCACCATCACCTGTCCTCCGAATCTCAGATCCACTCCACGTTGGAACAGTTTTGGCAGAAGCGATGGTCCAAGCATGCTGACCTACCTCAAGAAGCCTGGAAGCGCATCTTTGGCTTCGTCAAAGCCTACGTTCCCAAGGGCGCCATCGACCTACCACGCCTTCAACTTCCCCAATGGGATAACACCCTCAACAAGTTCAAAGCTCACGCCGCCCGAGGGCCAGATGGCTACGGACGCCTCGACCTCATCAACATGCCACCTCAACTCAAACAAGCGCACCTCGATCTACTTCACCGCATTGAACATGGTGAACAATGGCCCCAGCAGCTTCTCAATGGCCACGCCCACGGCCTTGCCAAGTGCGTTGATGCCGAGGAGGTCTCACAGTACCGACCCATCATTATCCTGAGCATGATCTACCGCACCTGGTCCTCCATTCGCGCCAGACAGGGACTTCAACAGCTCGAGCAGCTCATGGACTGCCCGGCGTTTGGCTTCTTGCCCACTAGAGAAGCTCAGGAGATCTGGCTCCCCTTGCAGGGCCTCATTGAACTACGAGCACAACAATCGCAGCCATTGGTTGGCTGCGTTGCTGACGTTGGGAAAGCATTCAACCACCTGCCGCGGGGCCCGATCAAGCAGATTGCCAAACATGTTGGATTCGATGCGGATTTTGTCGAGGCATGGCATCGCTTCCTGCTCGGCTTTTCGCGACGTTTCAAGATCCGGGACACGGCGGGCTCTCCTCTCTTCTCCAACTGTGGATACCCAGAAGGCTGCCCATTGAGCTGCCTGGCCATGGCCCTCACCGACTGGTGCTATCATTTGTACCAAGCGCACTTTGCCCCGCGGGCCACATCCATCTCCTTTGTGGACAATCTGGAGATCTTGGCTCATACCCCGGGAGCCCTTCTACAAGCCATGGTTGCTCAGGAGACCTTCCTGGACATGTTTCAGCTCAGCATCGACCTTGACAAGACCTACCTTTGGGCAGTCCATCCGCGTGATCGCCAACAACTCGGCCTCCTCAAGCACCGCACCAGCCTGAAGGACAAAGATCTCGGCGGACATATGACGTATGGCCCGCGCAGGCGAGTTGCTCATCATCCCACCTTGGTACAAAACCTGCAACCAACATGGTCCTTGCTCCGACGGCTTCGTGCTCCCGGCTTATGCAAAACCCACGTATTGGTTCAATCCATGTGGCCCAAGATATTCCACAGCGCCCCCATCGAGGACTTCTCCCTCCAGCTCATCAAGCAACTGCGCACTGCAGCGGTTCGCGCACTTGGGCATGGCAACGCAGGCGCCAGCCCTGCCATCCGACTCAGCCTTTTGCAAGGCAACATCCTCGCCGATCCAGGCTTTTACCAGCTCTGGCATGTTGTGAGGACCTTTCGCAGGATGCTTCTGAAGCAGGCCGCCCTTCTGGACATGTGGCATCAGTTCCAGGCCTCTTTTGATGGCCACTTCTACGCCGGCCCCTTCTCGGTGTTGATTCGCCAACTCAACGCCGTATCCTGGAAGATCGAAGCTCCACCTTACCTCACCGATCACGATGGCCTTCAACACAACATCCTCACCATTGACCACCACTACTTTCGAAGCATCCTTGAGGACGCATGGCGCCAACGTGTGGCCTTGGACGCCTTCACCAGAACCGACCTCCAAGGACTACGAGGAATCAACTGGCCTGCATGCCGGCACCTTGGCGCCCACCACACAGCCTTGCAGTCCGCCCAGATCTGCGCACTTCGCGAGGGTGCCTTCTACCTCAACACCCACAAGGCCAAGTATGATTGCTTCATCTCTGCCACTTGTGCTAGATGCCTGCAGCCAGACACTGTTGACCACAGATGCCTACATTGCCCGGGCTTCTCCACATCCCGAAGCACTTGCACTATGGGAAGGAACTCCGATCTCACTTCGCGAACGACTACTTCCACCTCGCAATCCTCACCACGGGCAGCTACGTCGCTACCTGCACTCCCTCCACGAGAGGCCTGTTTCCTTCGAGATCCTTGGAGACCGAGCGCAGGACACCCATGTCTTCTCGGATGGCACTTGCACATCTCCAACGTACAGCCCACTGTCCCTAGCAGCTATCGGCATCCCGGCAGTCACGAATTGCATCTGGACCGCTGCCTGGCGAAGTACAGTCCAGCAACCGAGCGGAGCTCTACGCAGCCCTCATCACTGCGCAGTGGACCAAACAATGCAGGTGCCGAACACATTTGTGGACGGATTCTGCATACACCGCAACCGGGATTTGGCAGCTCCAACAAGCCCCGGATGACATCCCAAGCCGAACCAACGCGGACCTTTGGCAGCAGCTTTCTGCCACCCTGGCCACACTTGGTGAAGGCCAGCTCCTGGTGCATCATACAGCTGGCCACAGCATCCCCGCCGAGATGGACTTGGCTGGCGCACTGGAACAACGTTGCTGACTATGCAGCCAAGGAGGCAAATCGCCGGCACTCTGAAGAGTTTCACACCCTCTGGTCGGCGTACAGCCAAACTGAGCGAGATCAGCTGCATCGCCTAGCATGCCTTCAAGAGCTTCACCTTGCAGTCGCAGCTACCAACGCTGAGAACCAGCCCACAGCTGCCGATGGCTTTGAGGAATACGACCTACCTGCCGATGCTGATCCTGAACCCGATTCAGGAGAGGCTCTCGTGAGTTGGCCTGAAGTTTTGAGCCCGGACTGGGCCCAATCACTACCCGGTTCGCGCATTGAATTCAAGTTTGATTCGGGCTTCCCCAGGCAAGCCATCACTTGGCTGCTACAGGAAGCTGAACAGGCGACCCTTGCTTCGCACATCTCATGGCTTGAGGTTGCCGTGATGATGAGAATTGCGTCTCTCAGCATGCCGGTTCCCACCTCGCACACCAGCGGCGAAATCTGGAGGAACCCCAGTCCCCTCTTGGGCGTCCAAACGACCCTTGCCTCGGACATTCGCATGACTCGTTCTTTTTTCCGGTTGGTTGCTGTTCATTTTGGTTTGGACATCCAGGAAGTTCGGGGCATTAACCTGGCCTCTCTTGGGGTTGCTCCCCCGCAAAGCGGTTTAACCCTCAAGCTTTCCACCCTGGTTAAACACCAGGCACGCCAGGCCCTTCGAACGTTCTGTACAGGCAGGCCCATCAGATCGGCCAACGATCGGTCACGGCCTTTCAGGCAATGACCCTGATCGCGCTCGAAGAACTCGCCCGCTGCACTGCTTGCGCTGTGCACGGGCACCAGACACGTGTGAATGAGGATACATTTCTCTATGGGTCTAAGGTCTCAACCATGTACCCCTGGGTATGTGCCCCTGTCAAATACACAATGGGTACATCAATGGTATACAGTCATATTTCCCAGTGGGATACCAGGGGTACCTGCCCAGGGGCACGTGGTTTAGCCCGCAGAATGGGGGTATTTCACTTCCGGAGAGGACAGTTGTGCGTTGATCATTGCTTCATGCCGGTCAGACCTTTCACCTTCATTTTTTTGGCAAAGTAACGTTCTCCCGGCTCAGTTGGACCAACCTGGTGCTTCCTTTCAATCTCCCGCTTGTGCACCGTGCCTTTACTCCTCCTCGAAACATGTGCTTCCTTTTGTTTGCCCTGTCGAACTAAAAAGATTGCTCAGGCTCAAGTTTCACTCCTTTCCAACCCTTGCCTTGCGTTTTGGGTTGCCAAGCCATGTCCTGCAAGATTTCGGCTCGACCAGTGGCCCGGGGGGGCCGGGCCCGAGTGCTCCCCCACCCCTACCTTTTCGGCCATAGTTGGCCCCTCATGGCCAAGGACGATGTGCACCCCATCGACCGACCATGGCGGCTTGGACCAAAGGCGGATGAGATCACCTTCCCTTGTTCAAAATCTGTTGAGTTGGCTTTCAATTTCTTGTGGCCAGTGCAATATGGCAGAGGCCTGTACGCGTTGCCTCACGAAGTGGGACCTTTTGGACGCAACAGCAGAGAGAGAGAGAGAGAGAGAGAGTACAATAGACCACCTATTGAAACACATGCGGCCCTCCTGAACAGGAGTTTTCTCTTCGAGATATGCCAGACAGGTGCCAAAGAGACCACGGTTGAGTTGACTTGGCTTTCGGCCCATGAGATGGGCTTCGGTCAAGATATCCTAATTCGTGCATGGTCCATTTGAGGGGCGCATGAATAAACTCATTCATGTGCCCTTGGGGAACAAGTAATTTTGATCGTGGCTCATATGATGTTTTGTTGGTCCTGTTCATTCTTAGTTGGCTGCGAAGGACAGTCTGTTTCCGACATGTACCAGCAATCAGGTTTTATTGAGTCAACAGGCTCGCCACCGAGGTTCATTTTGACTTGAAGTGGCCTTGAGGTGTGAAACCACTGGGGTTGTCATTTTTAGTCAAGGTTCGGGCATCTCCCGGAATATTTTCCGCGGCACTGATCTTGAGCCCTGCCAAAAAAGGGCAAGTGCTTTGCAGCCTTGCTTGTCAATTCCCCCAATTGGGGGTATATCGATGGATGCTGACGAACTTCAAGTACCGTACCCCTTCACGTGGTGGAGCGGCGAACCCGCAAGTTTCGAAGGCTACCAAGGTGTCTGTTTTGTTTACCCCTGGTATGGGTGGGGGTTACATCATGGTAATTTACAATGCCTGCCTGTTTCAAATGGAAATATCAACACTGTCGTAGTTGTTGAGGGGCGCCAAAGTGAACTTTAAACAATGGTTGGCCGAGTTGGGCCAAGCCATTGTTTAAGCCAGCTAACAGCCTCCCATTGGATTAGGCTTTAAAAACAAGAGTTCGACCACGGGATAGGTGTTTCAACAAAGTGCAACCAACCCTAAACAACAACTACCTCGAAATGAATAAGCTCTATTCCTGTTCAACTAGGCCTTCTTTGTCTTGGTGTTGTTCCCGTTTGCCTCGTCTTAGACTGGCATCTCTACCAACCACGGGAGCAAAGCGTTGAGCTGTTTAGGAGGGTTGCGCCAAGGTCCCTGTGCCGGCTGCCGTCCCTCATGTCTGTGGCCTGGCTCTGGCCCATGTTGAGGGCTGGCATGCACCACGCCTTGCAGGAGATCGACAGAAATACAAACGGAGGCAGCCATTTGTTGATCAAATTGGTATACTTCAAAATAGCCCCCCCCCCATAGCAAGTGTATATACCCGTTGGTTTCCCTTCAAAGCAACCTGAAAAGGGATTTTCAGAAAAACGTACCCAAGTTTCAAATATAATGCAAGCTCGAAATAAGCTAAAGGGGGGATCTTTAGACAAACCACTGCGCCCTTCAAATACCCCAACAAGAGGCAACCACACAGAGCAACAGCTATAGAAACAAACAGGGTAGTAACGAGTAGGAGGAAAGCCATTCATGGTTATATAAGCAAGTGCAAGAAAGCGCAGGGTCCCAGACTAGCACGACAAACAGCAAGTAGCTCGTGGCCTATGAACTTGGCTGGTCGATTTGGTGGGTTCCACTGCGACCAGTTGAACAGCAGCTCGAGGTTGAGGAAGCGAGAAGAGAAACAAGAGCAAGCAGCGAACACTTCAGAGGCGCGCGCTTTTGCACGCCCGCTTTAAAGCAGGGTTTGGGGGACCATTTTTTTTCAACTTCAAGCCTGTTGCTTGATGCCATTTGCGACGTGGTTTTTGAAAGAAGCAGGCCGCCCGTTCTCCTCGCATTTGGTTTGCAGGAGGATGACGTGTGGCATCTGCCGCGCCAACTCTCTGCAGCCCGGGTGGGCCCACAAGCAGTAGATCTCTGGAGAGAGGCGAGCGGAAAGCGGGGGCATGGAGAATTTGTGGTCTGACCGGACGAAATCTTGCACCACTTTGAAACCATGGTTTGTTGGTACTCGCAGGGGAACCATCAGGTTTCTTAGGTGGTGCAGGATTTTGTCCGTTCACAGTAGGTTGCCAGCATTTGTAATTCATGCTAATCCCGGATCAATACGCCCCTGCTTTGTTTCACTTTGAGAGGTGGTGTCCCCCTTTCGATCCTGTTAGTGGGGATTCAGGCCTTTTTTGGAGGGAGCACCCAAACAATACGACGGGTTTTACTTAGCTCCGGGGCCAACGTTACGAGATCCCCCGTCTGTTGGTGGGGCCCTGGCGGGGCCTTGTCTGAGCTGGCAAGAGTGGGTCCAGGTGCCGGTGGCTTGGAGAAGCTATTGGCCACATGGCTAATGATTCAATCGGTCTCGTTTTTTTCGAGCGGGGGATGAGATGGGTCTTTGGGCTGTGGGTCACAAATAGGGTAACCTCAAACTGGGTTTCCCCGATAAATGGAACCAAGGAGTAAGACCTGCGGATATGGCGGTTTAATTGTGACCCATACCAATTTGTAACTTGTCCAGGCGCACTATTTGAACACCGCCGGTGGCTGCTGGGATAGGTCCGCATTTCTGTGACTCCGCGCTTATGACATATGGCGAGTTCATGAAAGCGGGAAAATTAGCGATCCTCAAAGAATTTGTTCGCTCAGCTTGGTGAATTGCAGTCTTGTGTGAAGCTGAAAGTTAACCTCAACCCAGGTTTTTGTTGAGGTGGGTTCCCCACAGAAAACGGTTGACCATCGAACGGTTTCCCTTTTTTTATCAGGGTCCCAAAATGCATGCTCAGTGATATTGCTTGTACAGTCCCAGCTGTTTTCCCTGGCAGGGGGAGTAGTTTTGGGGCAGGCTTGGGCCGGAAGTCGCAATCCAGCCACTTTCCCATGTATGGAAGCGTGGGGGCCCAGAAGCAGATTCAAGTCAGATCTCCAAAGAGGTTCCTTTTGAAGCCCCAAATTCATTTGCCGCATGGCCACCCTTCAACCCTCCAGGAGTGCACTCTAGCCGCAGCGCGCCGGCGCAAGCCGCGGTTATTGAGGCGCGCGAGCAATACAAACCCGGGGCCCAGTTGTTTTTTTTGTTTGGGCCATTAGGGGGTGAGGGTTGGCCTCTTGGCATCATTTCTTTGCCCTTCTGTCATGCAAACTTGAACTCGAGAAGATCTTCGCAAGGGAGCTACGGCTTCTTTTAGCGAATCTTGCAAGCAGCGTGCTGTCCAAACCTGGTTGCGCCCAAGGTTCGAGGGCAATCGGCAGTACCAATGAGCATAGGGATATGCAAGGAACACGTTTGTGTCTGTAGCTTCCGTGTGGAGTACGCCGCTGGCTGGTTGCATCATGAAAGCCGGGTGCAGGTTCACGATTAGTAAGAGAACCATGCACGCCTAGCTTGCTTCGTGGAAGGAATGACCGATTTCCCAGGTTCCTTATAATGTTTACCCAGGATTAAGAAGCCCGTCCCACTATTAGGGGGGTGTTCCCTCCTAAAGTGATGAATCCCCACTAAAAGGGGACACCCCCCTATTAATCAACCAGGGGTTTATTCATCCGGGGTTAACATTATTTGCCCTGGTAGATTTAAATGCAGATGGACGAGCCCGTTCACACCAGCCATGGAAGTCCCAGGTGGTGTTATGTTTCACCTCTTGGCAACCAGAAGCAAATTATGGCCACGCTTCCCTGAAAGACGGAATGACCCAATTCTATTGTCCGTTTGCTTTAAAAGGGCCTATGATTCCCCTTTGTCTTCCTATATTCCCTGTATTTCCCCTCGTGGCGTTAAATGTCCTTCCATTTGCTTAAGCATGTTTTTGTGTGTTCCCTTTTTGGTTTTAAAGGGAATCTATCACTGAACATATTGTTATGTGCGCAAACAAATGGAGGATACGTCAGCACATGCAACATAACTGATTCTAACTATACAATGGTCTGAAACCCTACTAACAGGGGACACCCACTCAAAATCAAGCAGGGCTTCTTAATCCGGGACGACAACCCACTGCGGATGGAAATTAAATCCAGTTCGCACCACCAAAGAAACCCTGGAATGATTCGGTTCGGTTCCCCATACATAGTTTCAAGCATTGGGCACCCCGAAGTCACGATCAAAGCCCGGGCAAGTGGAGGTTAGTATATACGGGACAGTCCCAACCGTTGCCGTTGCGGCCGCCTTGATTCTTGACATGGCTTTGGGGCGACCATTTTCATACATGTTTATCAACTAACGCCGTTTGTTCCATAGCAAAAGTATAAATTTCAGATTGGTTTTTCAACTTGAATATACATAGCCAGCTTGTGTTCAATGTCTAGGTCCCCCAGTAGTGCCCTTTTACCTTTTTTTGGGGAGGGTTCCCCTACTAAAATAGACTAGAAAAAAAGTTGGCACCCTTATTCCAACCTCTCTACTGGAGCTAGATGTAACAATAGGAGGCAGTCACCGCGGTATCTCTGCACGGGTGACGTACTTCGCAGGACTTTGATACGCCTCAGCTGGGTGTCTAGCGGCCTCTTCCTTGGGGTTAGCCTCTGCTGCTGCTTGGCCATCGACAAAATCCGGGCGCGGGTCCATCCGACACCCCGATGCCATCATATGTATACGTGCATATATGTGTGTGACTATGTATGTCAATATAGATATGTATATTTGTTCATCAGTATATACAACATATACTTTGTGAGATCAATTGTACATTATGCAGTATATTTTGCACATTCTGTATCTATATAGATAGTTAAAGAGGGAGGGCCCACAGCCATCAAGGGGCCCTTTTTATACATTGGCGTGGCAGCTGGTGCGACGAACCTTTGATGCGTTATCTCCGGGCGGTGAATGTATCGCAAGTGCGGACGAGAAAATCAGTGCTTCGGAGAAATGCAGCTCGTTTTGTTTTTAGCCTGCAACTTGTTTGTTCTGAAGAATGCCGGGGGTTACTGCAGCAAGCGAGGTATTGTTGCTGTCTTGACACATGTGCTGACACATGTACGTGAACCTGGCTGTTTGCCGTCAATTCTGGTTGCCAGTCGCGCTAACTAGACTCAGCAGTCGGAAAATGCATTTTGCGCAGAATCCCACCCCAGCAAAATGAATCTGGAAATGGACATGTATGACCAGGATTTCAGGAAGGTGTCTGGTTGCTGGATCTTGGGCAGGCATGTTCACATCTCATAGGTTCCTTTGAAATTCACTTCAGCGAGCAATCCGTTCAATGCCTTCTTACCAACAGCCCCGCAGCGGAATATATCTCATCCTTCCGCCAGTTCCCCACCCCTTCCATTTTGCACATGCAGTGGTTGCCTTTCGGACCCCCAACAGAGCTCTTAAAACTTCAATCAGGTGTCTCCCTTTGCCCTGCATAGGGGATCAGGAAAAGTCAAGCATTGGCATGTACAACCCGTTTGACCCCTGTTTCCGCAAACGAAAATATCCTTTGGAGTAATGTAGGCCATGTCCTTTGTTACAGATCTGGTAGCTCCTTAGCTTCCTGTTCGGCAAATTTGCTTTGCTGTTCCCAGATCCCCTGCTAATAGTCTAACTTGTGGTGATTTAATGAACAACTACCACGAAACCCTTTTAACAAAACCTAGAATCCCAGGAACTCGATGGTTGAGGTCCCTCCCTCAAGGCCGCCTCCCTGTGATTTGCCCGGGCTTGTGTTGACTGTTCGTAGGGGCCACGCCCTTGCCTCACCCGAGGTGTCGGAGCATATGTGCCGGCCTCGGCCGCCAATCTGGTCGTGCATTCGTTGGGCGAGGGGCGTGTGTCGGGTTGATATCCCCAATGTGAAGCAAGTCAAGCAAGAGTTTCTTTTTTCCCCCCGATTTTGTCACTTGCCTGGAGTTGGAATCCACGGTGGCGCTGTCCTTGGGCAACCCGGAACATCCTTTGCGAGGCGCCCCTCAATGAAAGACAGCATGGGCCTTGCCTTCGAAGGACGGATAGGGGTCCTGATTTTGTTTGCCGCTTCGAACAGTTCAAACGTCGCCAGTTGGATGGTGTCGATTTGGCGGCTTCCACTATCTTGGGCAGCTTTCACAGAACACCGAAGCCCAAGTTCCCTTTGGGCAGGTTCTGGCGCCCCTCTGCCTGCGCGGGATGTTGCACGAGCTCAAGCAGGTGGGTGAAGGGAAAACCCGGGGTGAGGGGGGGCGGCAGCGGCGGTAATGTTTGTTTTTTAGGTGTGTGTGTGTGCGTGTGGATGGGGAGCTGATTCCTTCTGCCAGTAAGACATCCCCCGGCAAAACCGCAAAACAAGACAAAAACACAATTACTCCAGCCACAAACGCAGACACATGTTTTTTCCAAAAGACTAGTCGTTTTCCTCAATGTTTGTGAGGATAAAACGACAAAGCACTGTGGCTAACCCCTTGGATGGTCCTCGTGCGTCCCTTCCAACCAATCAACCGAAAAAAGGTACCAATTTGGACACAAAAAGCCTATGAGAGCCACTGGTTTTTTCTTGAAGCCAGCCAAACCACGGTGATGAAGCCAGCCAAGCCAAAACACGGTACCAATTTGGACTCCAAGCCGCGCCAGACCACGGCCTCGGCGCAGTCGCTGCTGCCCTGGGGCCTGGGCTTCAGCTTGTCCTTCGCCAGGGCCCCGGGGCCTCGGGGCTCGAGGGGCAAAGCCAAGCGGAGTGAGCGGGGTGAGCGGGGTGAGGGCATGGCGTGTTGGTGTGGGGGTGGGGTGGGGTAGAGGTGGGGTGGGGGTGGGGTGGGGGTGGGGTGGGGTGGGGTGGGGTAGAGGTGGGGTAGAGGTGGGGTGGGGGTGGGGTGGGGGTGGGGTAGGAAGTGGAGTGAGTGTGGTGAGACTCGGGGCTTTTTGGGTTTCTTTGGCCCATTTCGGCGCGTGGTCCAGGATGTCCTTACTTACCCTTGCCGTCTGACATGATGGGGCCAATCAGAGCCATGGCAATCCTTTTCAGACTGGAACATTAGGGCCTCCGCCGAAACCAAAATTTGTGGGGTTCCCTTTCAATGTCAAACTTTTCCCGAAGTATGTTGCAAGCGCGCAAACCACGATAACAGCCGAGGCCTTGTTTCCAACCGTTTTATTTTTGGTGTTTTTTGGAGCCCAACACAGCTGCTTGCGAACTTCGCGCGCCTGAATGGGCCATGGCCTTAGCCGTGTCCAGCTCAAGAAGGTGGCAGAAACCTGCAGCGATTTTAGTCCCAACATGGCAAGCAAGGAGGAGGACGTACAGATGATGCCCACTGGGCTGCAAGCAGCGCATGTGTGTGTGTGGGCAACTTATGAAGGGCTGGCCAGGTTGTCCTTTGCTTGGGGCTTCCTTTCGTTTTCGGTGTGGGAGGCGTGGATCTGTGTGGGCCCGTTTTTTGAGGCATCCGTCAATATCCGTCACCCACTTGCCAGCAATAAAGGGCAATATTTGTTCCGAGCACTGCTGCGTGGAGTTTAGGTGAGCAGCCGTCCTGATTCAGGGTCCCATCACGTGTTGAGCACCATGGGTGGTTGGCAGTGAGGGCTGGATTCTTGCTGAGGCATAGCTCTAGGCAAGTACAGAACAAGTAGAGAATAAGGGAAGCCCATCTCACTTGCAACATTTGTCAGGGATCAGCCAAAACCCTGTGAGTGGGCAGGCTCAGCCAAGCGTTGCCGTCGATCCACGCGAGGTTGGTGTGTAAGACGCACCTGGGCACCCGTAACGTGGACTACCGCATGAAGCGCTACGTCTTCCGGCGCACTGTGGACGGCATTCACATCATCTCCCTGGGGAAGACTTGGGAGAAGCTGATGGTGGCCGCACGCGCTTTGGCCCAGTGCAGCTCAAGGGCCTGTGTTGAGGGAAGGCCTTCGGTGCCCAAAGGGTGTACCCTTTGTTCCTTTTGTTCAGTGGGTTCCCGCAGAAGGGTGAGACAAGGTGAGGGCAGCTGATTCAGCAATGTTCGGGTGTCCTCTGTCTGCAAGGCATCATCACGGCCATCGAGAACCCCGCAGACATCATCGTGGCGTCCCAGCGTCCCTACGGGTCCCGGGCGGTGCTCAAGTTCAGCCGCTCGATGCGCATCGCTTTGTTTTGCGCTTGGGGGTGACCCGAGCGTTCCTTTTTGGTGTTCGATCAGCCTTGGATGCTTTGGGTCATTTTATGAGCTTTGTTAGGGGGAGGCTCTTGATAGAGGAGTATGTACTGCAAAACAGCCCCGCGTTTCAAATGCTGGAAAACACCCATGAGATGGTTTGGCTTTTGCCCCAAAGCATGTTTGTTGGCGTCACCACGAACCACAACACACCTGCGGAATTGCCAAGCGTTTTTGGTGTTATTTCTTCATTTTGTTGTGGCCCAACATTATAACTTTCTACAAGTTCAAGGTTATTCTGGCTAATCAACTCATGAGGTCAGCCAAACGGTTTCTGAAGATTCCTCAGGTCGGGTTTTGTTGGTTATGGCATTTTTGAGAAGGAATCAAGGCAAACACTGCTGGAACTTGCCTAGATGATGCAAGGAACCAGGTTGCTGGGATCTCCTTTGAACGCAAATTGCGCTAGGTTCAAAGTGTGGACCGGAAACAAAACACGAAGGCGGAGCTGTTGGGCCGAGTTTCCAAGGCCAATACACTGGCGCCAATCCGCTTGCGGGGCGCTGGATGCCAGGCGGATGAGTTGGGCGGTGGGGAGCCAACCTGTTTGTTGTAATGAGGGACCCCCAACATATCCCAAAAATGGTGGTTTCCTCTTGGCTCGCCTCAAAAAACCACCAAAAAAGGCTGCAAAGGGGACCACCTCCTGGATCTCGAGGGGCGCTTGGGGGTCGGCCTTCGGGGCATGGGGAAGGAAGCCTGGGGCCGTCGAAACTTGGACTTGGTCGAAGGATGCCCTTGCGATGGCTACCCGTTGCTGCGGTATCCTGCTTTGTTGGCTGGTTGCGTTGTTTCATCCGCACCCGTCAATGTATGAGGGTCCACCTCCTCGAATTCACCAAGCTCCGGGCATTCTTCCGCGGGTTGGGATCTTGTTTCTTTCCGGACGGCAGGTACGTTGACCAACCAGATCACCCAGAAGTACCTGGAGCCGCGCCTGCTGATCGTCACGGATCCCCGCACCGACAACCAGGCGCGCCGTAAGCGAGCGCGGCCCACTCCCATGGACTCGTGAGGGCCTGTCCTTTTGATCGGTGGGCCGGGTGAAACATCGATGCCCCAGAAAATGACGGGTGACCCCAGAGAAAGATGCCCCAGGAAACAGAGGTGTCCTTTTTGGAGCCTGGTTGAAAATAGATGGCGCTGGGTTGGAAGGGTTTTGTTTCATTTACCAGGGCCATCTATTGTTCCAAAAGGCCACCTATGCTTGAGGGTCAAATCGGTAGTGAATCGCCGGGGTTCCCCAGTTCACTGTTCGTCTTGGCACCCCCCCCCCCCAATCTCCAGCTGCAGACTTCCAGCGATGCTGCCTGTGATGGTGGAGAGAAACAGAGTATGAGCCACCCAGCCCAGCCCACCACCATATACAGTCCATATACCCTTCATTGCATATACCCTTCATTCAGCCCTTTTGAAAGACTAACTCCTCTAAACAACCCTCATTTTCAACATCCGAACATGTTGTCGTTCAAACATGGCTACCACCATGGTTGAAACAACCTCTCTCTGGCTTCCATCTATATAAATGGGGCTGTTCAGGCCAGGGTGTTTCTTTTCAGGCCACTTTACTGGACACACGTACGAACTAATCCCACAACAGTCAAGAGGACCTTGAGTACCGTTTTTACCACCAATTCTTTTATCAGAAGGACCCCCATTGACCTTGAGTACAACTTTTGCCACCTACCCCACTGGATGCTTTTAAAGGGCAACCCAAAAGAACCCCCAAATCTCGTTTTAGGGGGCGTTCACTCCTCAGTGCTTCAGGCTATCAAGGAGGCCGCGTACGCCTCCATCCCGGTGATCGCCTTGTGCGACACCGACTCGCCCATGGAGAACGTGGACGTTGCCATTCCGGCCAACAACAAGGCGGGACTGCGGGCGCGTCGTTTGAATGCCAGCCGCTTGGGGCTTGTACGTTTTGGGAAGGGGCAGTAATTCGCCAAAGAACTTTGAGGGTACACCATTTAGGCCTGTTTCCAAAAATAACATGGCTTAAACCACCCTTTGTGGGGTTCAACTCATTTAGATGCAACTGCATGTTGGGATCTTTTTGGGCTCCTCATTGAGGAGCTCAATCAGTGCCAGCATGTAGCAAGGCGGCCCAACTGGTTGCGATCTAGTCTCCACATGAGTACACGGGGGGACCCCCCAACACAAGCACAAGGGAGTCCTGCAATAATATCTTGGAGCTTCCTTGCAAGATTTGGGTTTGGGTTTGCGTTTGATTTCGTATCGCTTGATTTTGAGTTTCCATTTGATTTTAGTATTACTGGAACTGTTTTTTTGATATGCCGTTTTGAGTTTCCATTTTATTTAGTATTGCTGGAGCTTGCTTTTGAGATTTTGCTGTTGTTCCCAGTTGATTTGATATTGCTGGTGTTTTTTTGAGATGTTGACTTTTGTTCCCAATTGATTTAATATTTTGCTGGTGCTTCCTTTTGATTTGTTCTTGGTTTGAGTTTCCATTTGATTGTGTCTTGCCGGATTCGAGTTTCCATGTGATTTGGCATTGCCGGAGCTTTCTTTTGAGATTTCAATTTCAGCTTCCATTTGATTTAGTATTGCTGGAGCTTTCTTTTGAATTTTTGACCGGAGGGGGGGGGGGGGGGGCAGGCAACACGACTTTGTTGGGGCCCCTGAAATGAAGTCGGCTCAAAACGGGGGCCTGAAGTGCTTCCTATTGCTTCCTCCCGTTTTTGGGAGGCTCAATCAAATATTGCTTTGATTCTGTTCCTTTCCGCTTAGCCTGCACGCCCCCCCAGTACCGCCAGCAGTTCTTTTTTCATTTGCTCAAGAATACTTGTTGTTGTTTTTTTCCCTGTTGCTTCTAAAGGGGATCGATTTCACTGGACATGTTTCCCATTTTCCCTTGTTGGTTTTAAAGGGGACCGATATCACTGGACATCTTCTCCATTTTCCCTCAACCGGACGCAAGTTTCTTTAACCGAGGGCAAGGAGTCCATCGCGCTGCTCTACTGGCTGCTGGCCCGGGAGGTGCTGTACCTGCGGGGCACCATCCCCCGGAACCAGCCCTGGGAGGCGGATCCCTTCGTGGGGGACCGCGGGAGCGCGCGTTCGCGCCGCGTGTTTTTTCGGTTTCGGGGGGGACGTTGACTGTGGATCCCGGGCTGTGGATTGGGTGCGGGGGCATCCATGCCCGGTTTGGGGTTTCATGCCATTCGTGTGGGGAAGCCCAGCGGCTTTTTTGACAGAAGGACGCCTTCGGTCGTAAAACGCACCATTCAGAATTTCGGGGAAGGTTAGCTTAGACCAGTCCACGAGGTGTAGATCCCCCACGAAGATGGTGGGACCCCTCATAGTAATTAGACCGACTATCGTGGGCTTCCGAGGCAGAAACCGACGGCCGCAGTGAATTGCGGCAAATTGCAAGGCCTCCCTGGTTTCCAACATGCATATGTGTTTGAGGCTACTGATTTTCGGGGGTGTTTTAAAGGGAACCTAAAGGATCCACCAATTTTAGGGCTGTCG